GCCAGCACTTCGATGCGGCGGGCGTCTGCCAGCGGCACATCAATGTTCATGTCCCGCAGCATGACGTTGTTGGCGACCCTGGCCCCGGCCTCGCGGCAGACTCGCGCGGCCGCCCGCTCGAGGGGGGCGCCACGGGGCCCCAGCACGCCGGCCATGGGACAGGCCGAACGGTGGTCACCTAGGGCGTCCAGGTTACCTCCGCATCTACAACGGCGCGGAGCGTGTGGCAGAGCCGCCCTGAGGCGGCGTAGCAGCAACACACGCATGCACTCACTGGGCTCCAACCGTAGCATAGGCGGCTCGGTGATCCCCTAGAGAATCGAGTTTCCCCCCGCAGCGGGAGTGGCAAGCGCAGGCGGCGGCAAAGCCTCACTCGGAAGAGGTCATTGGGAATGGTGACATCCGCATGTGTCGGCATGACACAAATGTTGCGGCTGGCATATGGGCCTGCGCATGTGGGCCTGCCTGCGACGTCAGCTTCGTCGTCGAGCAATATGCGGAAGTGTTCGTTGGTGATGCCCGATGGTCCAGCGGCCGATCCTCGTCTAGCGGTTTGCAAAAATGCCAGGAACGGATGCAAAGGGAGTTCCCCTGGCCTGAACGCGAGGAGGTCAGGATCGGGGGAGCGCAAGGTGCTTGGGGCCGGTTCGCAGGGTCGCGGAGCTCGGCAAACGTGTTTGAAAGAACCCGGTGCAAGCGGTTCGGAGACGAGGGCCCGTGCTGCGTCAGACAGCTCACCGCTCGCCACACTCAGGTCACTCATACATCGAGTCATCTCCTCCTCATCTTGTTTGCAAGGCCTTTTGGCAGGGGAAGTCTCCCCCGTCTTAGATGCGGGGGCGCACGTCCGGGGGCTGAAGGCAAGGCGTCCAAAACTCCTCCCTCCTCGGCTGTACTTGCCTCGTCCTTCTCCTCCACGGGCTGGTTCCTAGCTCCTAGCTGCTGCCTTCGCCTCTGCGCTGCTCGGTGCAAAGGGACCGCGCATTAAGTGAGACGGTTGCAAGAAGGTGCGGAAAAAAAAGGTGCATGCAAGCTTCGAAGGATGAGGTTGCCGGCGCACTGCGAGTGGGCGGAGCAGCGTGCTCTGAATTGACACACAGCGCAGCAAAACGGGGTGCCTTCGTCGCACCGGCTTGAGCCAGTTTTTCACGTTTTTGCACATCATGGTCCATGCCGGTAACCCAAAACCCGGGTCGGAAAAAAAACTCGGGTTGGAGTCTTGACGCGGCCTGTCCTTTCTTCCCCAAGACCGTGGGCATGTTTTGGGAAGACCGCTCCGAACGGACGATTACGTCGCTGCGCAACCCAATTTTCGAGTCACCAGGGTGTTTTTGTTGAGTCTGCAAGCTGCTCCTGTCCTGCTGTCCATCTCCTCGTGCACTGTCGCCTTCGGGTGCTTCCCCGAGTGTTCACTGCCGGGTTCGCTGCCACACATGACCGAAACATGCAGCGTTGTCTGCTCAGCTGCTCCAACGCGTCGCCGATCACGTGCCCCAACCTGCAGCCTCGTTTGTACATTGTTGTTCGTGTCACTATGGCACTATGGGCTCGGTCTTCGCAGTGCAGTCGTTGCTGCCCATGTGCTGGATGCAGCAGATCCCCCTGCCACGAGTCGAAATGTGACGGTGGTGCAGGCCATTCTGCAGTTAAGGTTTTGATTTTGCAATGCTTTGGTTCGCACTCAGCAAGAAGCATGCCATCCACCAAATTGCCAGTAGTTTGCACAGCGTGATGTTGAGTATGGTTGCCCATCGGGCGGGGACGAACATAGCATAGCTGACATAGCTCCGACGGAGATTTTTTGCACATCCGTGCGGTGCCCAAAAGACAGCCCTTTAATCATGTGGGGCCGTAGTGGTGAAGCGCTGCAAGTTATGCGTCAGTTCAACCTGGCGCGTGACCGGTGAGCCTCTGCATGACGAGCTGGCAATGGCCGTCGATACAATCAGCTGCAATATCTGGCCAGATATAGTTCCAGAAGACTTCGACACGTTCGCATCGTCTTTCGATGTCCGGCAATGCGCAGTGACGGCCGATGCTGTCGGACGGTACCATGCGGCTTTTGCTAATGGTTTGACATCCCCAGTCGAATTGTCGGTCAAAGCCGCATGGTGTGCTGGACGTGTTCGCCATTTTAGCTGGGCAGCTGCATTAATCCTGTATGACTTTGCTTTGCGGCAGATCGCTGGCAATGGGGGTTCGTGGTGCTTCGACAGTTCTAGCTGGAGCCGACACGCCAAGATTTCGGCGCATGATGTGCTTACTGCACATGCTGATGTGTTGCAACAAATTTTGCGGCAGTGGCAGAACACAAACTTTGCGGTGGGCAGCACTGCGTGTTCTATAAGGCAGCGTTTCAGAACCAGTGGTTCCAATCAGGATCAAATCGACGCTGATGTTAGAGCGTGGAATCAAGAAGTGCTGAATGCAGGTCGCCCATTCTGGGACGGGCAGGACTTTGTTCGCATGGGCTCGCTTCCCAAAGTGAGTTGTTTGGTACCAGTGGTTTGGCCGGCGCAAGAAGCATTCCTCGAGGCAATCTCGGAAACATATGGCTCGGATTGCGACGTCCTGCGCTTCTTCGTTTCAAGCACACAGACATTAGAAGTGCCGGCGACCATGCAGCATTCATTCATAAATCTGCATGCTTGGTATCCCGATGTGCCACCCGACGATGAGACATTCCATCGACAGACCGGTCAAGCCCCCCAGCACGACAACTTCAACACCATCATCAAACTCTTGCACATGCTACGATGGGAAGCCGAGCACAGCGACGAGCACAGCGACCTCTTGGGTGAGCAAGGGGAGCAGTGGTGGTACTGCCGTTTGGAACGCGACACCTTCTTCATTCCAGAAAACTTTCGCTATTTTGTCGTGTCAGAACGTTTGGATGCTGCGGAGCCCCACTACCTTGGGACGAGGCAGTTCAACGATGTCCCGCGATTCGGATTTGTTTACAACGATGGAGGTCCTGGAGTGTGTTTGTCTCGCCGGGCATTGCGTGACTTGTCGAGCCTACTAGTGGACGCACCGTTTATAGATGGGCGTCCAACTTTTCAGGATTGCGTGTTTGCTGTTGGCCATCGTGAAGACCTGATGCTAGCTGCATGCTTGCGACAGCTTGGGGTGTTGCCAAGCGCACTGACGACTGACGCGTTTGGCAGAGAATGGTTCAGTATACGTCCAATGGTCGGTCTTCCCATGCACCAGCCGGTGCTGCAACACTTACTTCGTGGCAATGAAACTGGGAATGAAGCTTGGAACTTCTGGATGGGCCGAGGCCACTTGTATTTGCCGTGCTTTGAATATATTCGCATTTGGGTAGTTGAGATGCCAGTGTCATTCAATTCCTTCAAGAATGTCTCCATGTTTACAGAGGCGAAATCGATTCTTGAGCTGGGCCCACAAGCGAGGCAGAAGCACTTGGGGTATGCATTGCATCTCAGTGGCCTCAGAAAGCATAAGGATGCTGTGATCTTGCAACCATCACCAAGCCGTGGCATTCCTTGAGGCCCAGAGCCTAGATGAGCCAGCATCGGCTGAACTACGCGGGATGTGTCTTTTGATTACAGGGTGCAGCTTGCTTGTGCTTGTGTTTGTGATAGTGTTTGTTTGTTTGTTTGTTTGTTTGTTTGTTTGTGTGTGTGTGTGTGTCTATGTGCGTGTGTTTGCATGTGTCGGAGTAGCAGCGAATGGCTGGGATGCGTGTTGCACCAAGACAGTCGCAAAAAGAAAAGAGCTTGCTTGTTCAATGCTTGCTGTAAGAAGCGGAGCGGCCGGGGGGGTTATCTGGGGTTTGATGTATACGGTCTGAGCCACTTACCGTCGTTCTTGCTGCGGCTCTTCCGCTGCTTAGGTGTCCCTCACGGAGGGCCCTTTAAGATATCTTAGATTCTGTTAGATCGTAGGAATCAGCCAGGATGCTGTTCTGCTCGCCGCCACGATTGTCGGCTAAGCATCTATCTAGGTCTCCAAATCCGGTGCAGGCCTCCGCAATGAAGTTTTTTGTGGCTTTGGCCACTTTGCCATGGACAAGGTCATTGAAAGTGTCAATTCAGGTCAATGTGTCACAGACGCAGTGTGCCAACGCAGCACCCAATTCATGCTGCAAATGGCAAGGGCGATGTGAAGATGGATGGGTCCCAAGGCAGCCTTTGAGTGAACATGTTGGAAGCAGCAACGAAGAATGCTGCGAGCAGACGTGCATGTCTTTCGCATGTCCAGATGGTTATGTGACAAACGCCGCCTACCACAACAACGTGGGTTGGAACGCAGATGTTTGTTGTGATCGTACATGTAAAGACCATTCTTGCAGCCAGGACGGATACCGGGTCACCCCAGCGAGTCAAGGCAAGGTTGGTTCCACAGACGATGAGTGCTGCTCAAAGACATGCTCCCTGCACAGCTGCGGGGCTCTCTGGAAGCCTTTGGAGGAGAGAGCCCAATGGGTTGGCAGTTCCGACGCCGTTTGCTGTGAGCCACTCTGTGCCATGATGACCTGTGGTGCTGGCTGGGTTTTGGATGGCACCAAAGTCGACCAAGTTGGAGCCTCTCGTGAGGATTGCTGTGCGAAGACTTGTGAAACCGTGACTTGCCCCAGGAATTTTGGCATCCCCGAAAACAAGAAACACACCGCGCCCAAGGATGAAAGTGAATGCTGCCAGCCCACGTGCAGACAGCACATTTGCTCCGACGGCTGGGTGACAGATGCAACTCGCAACGATCTTTTCAAGTCGTCGGATGAAGGATGTTGCCTGAAGAAATGTGCCGCCTTCGAGTGCCAGGAGGGTTGGGAGAAGAACGCTGATGCCAAGGAGTTGCTTGCTACCAGCACAGAGACATGCTGCCTTAAATCTTGTTCGCTGCATGAATGTGGCACGGACTGGCTGGCCAATGCGTCCAAGAAGGGTGTCCTTGGCTCGTCAGATGAGGACTGCTGCGAGAAGTCTTGCACTTTGCACACCTGTGGAACGGGTTTGACTTTGAAGCCGTCGGCTTCCAACTTGGCTGGGACAACAGACGATGCATGCTGCGAGACCGAGCTGTGCTCGCAGATGCGTCAATTGAAGCCAGCTGGCCAGTGTAACGATCTGAGCAAGGAGGATTGTGGCAAGACTTATGTCGTCCTGACACCGACAGCCACCAAGTCGGAAGATGCCAACAAGTCGGTCAAGCATTTCGTGAGATGTGTATTCGATGAAAGCTGGTCGCTTTGTCGTATCAGTGATAGCACGGCTTCCCAGTGCTCCGACATGTAGGAACGGATCACATGCTGCAAAGAAGCAGCAGGATTGTATCAAAGCTCTGCGTGCTGCAACAAAGCGCGATGCGCGCAGGCACCAGAGCAGGTTGAATGACGGTCTTGAGGTTTCTGCCGAGTTGGCTTTGGTTTGCTTCTGCCTCGGTTCAAGTTCTCGGTATTGAATTTGTTATTGAATTTGTTGTCTATGCAGGCAATCTTTGCGCATGGTGCGTCAATGTGCGTCATTTGATGCAAAGCCTCCTACGAAATAGGAATAGGCTCCGACTGGTTGTGGACTGAATGGACGCCTGTGTTTCCCGATCCAGCGATGGCCGCGCAGTTTTGCCCGACTTGTGACCTGGCTGCGCGCAGGCCGTGCACACGTCGTTTTGGGAGTTTTTGTGGCTTGGTGGACAGGTGCCAACTTGCTCGTGATCGAAATCGGACGAGGTTCCAGCGCTGCGTTCCGGTGCAGGACGGGATTTGTAGCTTGTCCCCAGAGGGATTTGTTCTACGTCCATGTGCTCAGGACATGCCCGTATGTGTACAAGATTCGGGAGCTCTACCAGGGTTGAAATTTGCCGTCATTCTCCCTCAGAGATCACCCTGCCTGTAGAGCGAACTGGCAATTGGCAGGAGAAGCTTTCAAATAAGCAGGTTGTCATCAGAAAGGAAGTTGATGATGTGCTGGGCGGCAGTGAGGCAGTGCCCGGCAGCAGTATACAAGGATGGCAAACTGCAGCGCGAACTCGGCAGGCTTGGAAAGACGTCGAACAGTGCGACGCACATTGTCGCCAGCCTAGCCTAAGTCTCGTTGAGCATTGCAGGAGCAACGTGCCATCATCCTTGTCAGCTGCACCTCGAGGTCCAAAGTGTGCCCATTCAAGAGCATACTTCCGACAAATGCAAACTCGTTCTGCAGACGAGCCCATGACGACATTTTACAGGCCGGTTTTCAGTCGCCCGGACGAGGAAAGATCCCGGGTGAGTCTTCCAAGGTGCACTCAGTGTGGGCACAACTGGAAGGAGGATTGAGAGGCATTAGGGGATTAGCCCGATGCACTGCAAGAAATGGGAGGGACGAGCCACTCTTAATGCTCAGTCCTTGAGTACTCCAGTCTTGAAATCCTTCTTGATCTTGGTTCGAGCTGATTCCGCGTAGCAAACAGGACTTGTCATAGCCGAGCGAGCAGAGTGATTGTTGACAAAGCCGAATCCGGAAACAGACTTGCTCAGCTTTCCAGATCTTTAAAGCAGCGGCAGCCTTGCCATGTCATTTGGGCTGAGCTTGAAGCCTTCAAACTTGCCCGAGAAGGACGGGCTTCGAATTCGCTTTGCATGCAGTGCCAGGCGTCCGTGCAGTGCAGGGCTAAGGGCCAGGTGTCATTCATGTGCTCAGTACTGTGTCTCACCTTGTAAGTTTCGCCGTGAATCATGTCATTCAGTTTAGTACGCGAAACAAAAACCCAGTGCAGATGTACCCTGACACCCTGAGACCTTAGCGTTCACGAATCGGTGCTATGCGAACCAGACGGATGTGGAGAGGCTATGTGGTGCTGGTGCTGGCGCCAGGTACGTGGAGGTAAAAAGCTGTGTTTTCAGCATCGAGGCGCACCGGCTCATGGAACCCGGGACCATTGCCTTCAACAAGGTGCAGCGAGAGTTTGCCAAGATTGGGCTGAATCAGGAGGTTTTCGTGAAGCAGTTCCTGATTCCCAAGGGCTTCGATCTGGGCACTTGCAAGATGGAAGTGGACTTCTTTGTGAAGCCTACTCCCGACACTCCCAGGTTAGAGATCAGAGACGAGGAGCTGGATGCTCTGATCAGGAAGAGTTTCGAGTCTCAAGTCGTTGCCATTGGTCAAACGATCGCGGTGGATTATAACGGGCAGCTTCTAAAGTTCGATGTGCGCAGTTTGATGCCTCCGGATTTGGGCCAAGACGGCGCGGTCCCGAGGAACAAAGTGAGTTCCGGGATGCTCGCCTCCCTCACGGAGTTGGACTTTCAGCAGGGCCCCTCTGGAAAGCTCCATGTGCTTTCCAACAAAGTACAACATAGAAACATATTCAGACCAGATTTCAACTTCGAAGACCTGGGCATCGGTGGCTTGAGCAAGCAGTTCGGAGATATTTTCAGACGAGCTTTTGCTGCGCGTATCTTCCCACCTCACATGGTCCGCGACCTAGGCATCAACCACGTGCGTGGGATGTTACTCTACGGACCGCCAGGTACAGGTAAGACCTTGATTGCCAGGAAGCTTGCCAAGTTTCTAAAGGCAGCAGAGCCAAAGATCGTAAACGGACCGGAGGTTCTGAACAAGTACGTTGGCCAGGCAGAGGAGAACATCCGGAATCTTTTCGCCGATGCCGAAAAAGATGAGAAGACGCTCGGAGAGAACTCACCCTTACACGTCGTCATCTTCGATGAGATTGACTCGATTTGCAAGTCGCGGGGCTCAACACGCGACGGCACAGGAGTACATGATAGCATTGTGAACCAGCTGCTGTCCAAAATTGATGGCGTGGACTCGTTGAACAATATCTTACTTATCGGTATGACGAACAGAAAAGACCTCATCGACGAAGCCTTGTTGCGGCCAGGGCGACTGGAAGTCCACGTGGAAATCAGTCTTCCGGATGAGCATGGACGCATTGAGATTCTGAACATTCACACGAAATCCATGCGAGACAAGGGTTACTTGGACCAAGCTCCTTGATTGAGTGGCTTTAGCCCTTGATGCCATACAACTCTTCATGAGTGTGCTTGTACAGGGGTAGCCGCCAGTGCTGTTCAGACTTGTGCTGCTTCGCATGAGGACGTGTTGATTCCAGAGATCGCCGCGCGGTCAAAGAACTTTTCAGGGGCAGAGCTCGAGGGCCTCATTCGCTCTGCAACATCTTACGAGCCCTGAAAGCATTACTTCCTTTTGGCAGTATGTAGCAGGCGCACTCTCTCTCCAGAAATCCTTCCACTGGCTCCGAGGCGATGAACCGCAAGGTGAGTTTCACGGACCTCAGCATTAAGGAAGGAGACTTTCGCGTCTGCAAGGAAGACTTTGACATGGCACTCGATGAGGTGAAGCCAGCCTTTGGGCAGCACATTGACGATTTCGAGAAATGTATACCGAATGGAATGCAGGCTTACTCAGAAGAGTTCAGCCACATGATGGGATCTTGCATGAGTATCATCGACCAGCTAAGAGGGAGCACGAACACACCTCTTATGAGCCTGCTGCTGCATGGTGAGCGTGGTTGCGGCAAAACCGCTCTCTCTGCTCACCTAGCACAGAAATCAGACTACCCCTTCGTGCGCCGCATAACCAGCGAAAACTTCGTAGGTTATTCCGAGCAAGCAAAGATCTCAGCCATTGCCAAAGTCTTTGAAGATGCCTACAAGAGCGATTTGTCTTGCATAGTCCTGGACGACATCGAGCGTTTGATCGACTACGTCCGCATCGGGCCAAGGTTCTCCACACCGGTCATGCAGGCTCTCTTTGCTTTGCTTAAAAAACCGCCACCAAAGGAGAATTCCAGGCTGCTCGTCTTGGGGACAACAGCAGATGCACATTTCTTAGAGGAAGCCGAGCTGTTCCAGGCATTCAACGTGGCTTTGCAGATCCCAGTCCTATCGCAGCCGCTTCATTACAAGACGGTGCTGGAGGCCCTTCCGGGCTTTACGGCACCGGCGGTTCAAGAAATTTGTGCCGGCATTGCTGGCAAGAGTATTGGCATCAAGACGCTGATGCTCGTGGCAGAGATGGCAGTCCAGAGGGAGAACCCTGTGCAGATGGCAGTTTTCCTCGAATGCTTGAAGCAGTGCGGCATAGCAACATAGGTGCTTGGTGCGCTGCTGGTAGTTTCCGCAGCCTGTGTTCGACCGTGCACAGACGGCAAGAGGTGCGAATGGAGGCCAAATGATCGGTGGTGCTGGCACGGGCTTTGGAGAGTTCTGTTTTTCAAGTCATGTCTTGCATACGAGACCGCTGCATGGCAAGGGTTCAAGTCATTTCATGTGTTGAAATACAAGCACCAGGTCATGCAGCGGCTTCTTTGGAATGTAAACTGGTGAAACTGTAGGGACAAGCTCAGACTGCATGGACGCACTGCTGACCATGAGCTATAGCGGTTGGGAGGTGCGTTTCTGCGGTGACTCTGATGTGTATGAGTCTACATACCGCCGATGCCCCGTAGAGGGGCATGAGCAGAAGCCCTGGCGCAGTTCGAGGAGGTCCTGTTGTAGAGATGGTAGCCGCGGTAATATGCGGGTACACGCGACTTGCAAGGGCCGGAGTGGAAGTTGCAGGACCCGGTCTTGGCCTTGGCCTTTGGGGCCGGGGGGCGGGAGCGAGTGAGCTTTGATCCTGAGCTGCGCTGCGGCAGATTGGCATGCTGATGGGGAGGTGGTTGGCGTTTATGTTGAAAATGCCAAAAACTAGGGCTTGCAACCCCGCAAAAGTGGGTGGGAATTCAAGGAGAGTGGATCGGAAGTCGCATGGTGGTGAAAGTTGAAACTACGTGGTCTTACTTTGCTCAAAGCCGTCTTCGCATGTTGTGCTCGGGCTTCGGGAAGCGGGCGAGTTCGAGGATCCCCGAGCAGGCGCGTTGACAGAGCTGGGTGGCATTCTGCCACGGTCTAAGCTTCACTTGGCCCTGCTGCCCCTGCTGCCGCTGCAGTCTTTCCGAGGTCCCAAGTCGAGCAGGAACTGCTTGACTCTCAGTCGCTCCGTGAGCCGATCAAAGTCGGACTGTAGCCTGAGTTCCAGGTCTGCAGACTTGGATGGAGGCTTGGGGCTTGGGATCTTTTCGTACAGATCGTGAGGTATGAGTCGCCAATAAGGTGATAGGCTCATCTTGCTTGCGAGGCTCAGCAGCATCTGATTTGCAACAGTGCCCCGTGCTTTTTTCGGCGGGTGTCCAGCACTGTGCTGCTCGCTGCAGCATGACCGTCCCGGCCATGAGTGTGGTGCTCAGGCCGTGAGGTGGTTCGACGTCAGGCCAGGCTGCTTCGTCAAGTGCTGACCTTGCCAAGTTCTTCAGCCAGGTGCGACTGGAAGAGCTACGCCGCTTGCTGGATACAGCGCAGCTCCCAGGTAAGAAGGGCTTTCAGGAGCTGTCGAAATCTTTGCCTTAGGTCCGCCGGACCGGTGAGACGGAGCCGATCCGTTCGGCAGTCCATCTGCCTTCTCAGGTATCCAGCACGTGGGGCTCCGGTGAAGCAGTGCCAACTCGATGGCTGCCCTTTGTTCAGGACACGGAATGCAAGGAGCTGAGGGAGGAGCTTGCGGCCTTGGTGCCGGCAAAGATGTCGGCCGAGCGTGAGGCTGCGGAGATCAAGGCTTTGTAGCTTACAGCTTTCAAGCTTTCGCTCCTTGCTTAGGGGCCTGCCGCTGCGATCCTCGCGACCTTTCCTTGCAGGTCGCTTGGAAAAGCGATCGCATCCGAATTCACCAGCTCCAGCAGGAGAGTACGCATGGCGCGTTTCGACCCGTGCCGGGGAAGACGAGAGTTTGAGGGGTGCAGGCTCTCCACAGCTGAAGGACTTCTTGGGGTATGTGGACGGAAGGCGAATTCGGCTTAGTCAGAGGCTTGTCTATGCCCTGCCTGAACGGAAAGCCACTAACTGCGGCCACGGAAACCCAAAAGAAGGAAGAGTCTTGAGACCCGCTAGACTCTAGACCGTCATTTCAGGAGACGTGGCTTCACGGAACAAACCGATCGCCGACATGCCACCTGACCATGTAGATCCACTTGCATTTCCTAAAGGGCCTCGAAATGCCAATTCTGAGTTTCCACGATTGCATATAGAGTAGATGCAAGCACACGGCCAGATCTCTGTACTGCTTTGCGCTTGTGTCGTCATGCATGGACCATGTCATGTCAGGACATATCACACATCATGTATCTGCCCTCTCTGACTCCAATGCGCCTCATGCAGAAAAGCAGAACCCGATGCAACACTTCAAGGGTAGTACCTTTGCGGCCTGCCGAGTGAGTTGTGCATAAAGAAGGTATGTCTCTGAAGCACAGGAGTTGCAGATGCAGGCAGCGGCCGTTTCCGAAGCGGTGTGGATCTCAAGAGCCGTGCGAGTTCCTTCTTGCAGATAGAGGCTGTCGGAGATTTGAAATCCGATTTCCTATGGCTTGTGACCCCGAGGCTTCCTCAGCCGGCGCCAAGCCTCCAGGCCGACGCGATGACGTGTTCTCAATGTCATCATAGCAACTGGTGATCATGCATGTGGGCCATCGAGGTGTCCAGCAATCGCCGGTGGCAGACATCCAACTTAGAGTTCGGAGCACAGGCCTGCATAGTGATTCATATGTGCCAGGTTTCAGAGAGATGCCCCAAGGTCTGGCAGACTCGATGTGCCAGTCAGGACCTGCTGCTTTTGTGCCCTGCTGAAAGCCCTAAACCATCTCAAAAAATTGGCCCCGAAGGAGGAAGATCTTCAGCAGTGTCGATCAAGGTGCACATTGGTTGATGTTGCAGGGTTGCGACGAAACGTAGAATGAAAACACGCGTGCACCCCTAAGCCTGCATCATCCCCTGTCTATGTTTGGTGCGGGCTTTCGTTCTCAAGATGAACACTTTCCATTCGAACTGCAAGCTACAGTTCTGTGGCTTATGCCGTCTTGGCTGCTCGTTGCAGCTTCGGGGGATTTCGGGGGCCTCGGGGGCCTTACACGGCCGCTCATTGAAGGGGCCGCCCACCACAAAGTCATGCGACGGACAGGGAATCTGGACACAGACAGATGACCCTTGTAAGAGTGGGAGGGGGAGGAGCGCTCCTTCGTTAAGGTTTGGGGGGGGGTGGACAAGCCGGGCAAGTGTTTCTGTCCGGCCTGGTTTGAAACGTTTTGGTATCTTCCATTCGGGCTTGCTGCAGTTTGATGGCTGGAGGTGCCTGCGTCAGATTGTTGCTTGCAATAGGATTTCCTTTTGCACTTCGTCTGATTCATTTTGCAGGTGTAGCGAATGGGAAGAAGAGTCAAGTGCTGCTCTCGGCGTGGACCTTGTATGTTCCAGCAATGACCACGCACCGTCATCGCACACGGAAGAAGGACGTTGCACCCACTTCGAGGCGTACGCCATGGAGACAGCCAAGGTGCCAAGATTTGCTCGAAACAACTAGCCGTAGCCACATGTGCGTGCGTTTCGGACAATTTCGGTCAGCCAAATTGGAGGATTCTTCGCCAACCCGGTATGCCAGACCCATCATGCCCGTTTAAGGACACGACAGCTCGCAAGAGAGACCCTGCTTGGCCGTTTCGCAATTTGTCGATTTGTCGGCCGGCTTGAAATTTGCATGGCCAAGCCGAAGTGCAGCTACAGCACGGGTTTCTCATGTGACCTCCCCTGTGCTATGCACCAACCCAGAATTTGAAGCTCGAGCGTTTGACGAAAACAACCTTCTGCTCGAAACTCTTCCTTTTCGCCATGGGTGAACCATAAACCAGTGGTGGTCGACATCGCCAGACGGATTCCGCACTTGTAATTTTCACCACAGTTACAGTAACAGCAAAGCAGATTGAAAGGCGAGTAAGGTCCAGAGTTCATTGTCCAAGAGAAAAGAAGCAAGATTGGTGTTTAATTAAATTTCCGTCCAGGCAGAGGCGCAGCTCAGCCTTCAGACGCAGATTCTGACAGAAAGATGCATCGAGCTGCAAGCGAAGATGGACCGGTCGAAGGTAACCCAGTACGACTTATTTGGGCAGCTGGAGCAGCTCCGTATTCAGAATCTGGAACAGCACCAGCACCTGGAGGCTACACTCGCCAAGAGCGAGCAGCTCCAGCAAGAGAACAGGACCTGTGAGCCCCCGAACGTCAAAGCAATTACATGCTCGCTTGCAACTCGCTTGAAGCGTATCTGCTGTGCTGTACAGGAACCTGGAAGCCAGCAGTGCGGACTTAGAGCTTCAACTTGCCGAGTGCATGCTCTGCAAGCCGTCGACGCTAGCTTCAACTTACGAGAGCTGTTAGTATTCGCAGGGTGTATGCGCGTGGTCACATAGTCCTTTCAGCCCAGTATATAGCTGCAGAATTCCACCTGTCTTGGCAGGTGCGAGCCGCCAGCACAGCGCGATCGCGTCAAAGATCTGCACAGCTTGGAGCGGCGCTACGCAGTGTCGGAGGCAGCCAGAGATGGCTGTGCCCGACGTCTGAAGCTTCTCGAAACGCAGCAGGAAAAGCTTCAGCACGACTTGCCCCTTCGACTTCGAAGCAGATTTTAGGTTTTGGGTCACTGCTGCTGTCGTTCGCTAAGCTCACCAAAGGCTTTTCGAGTCCTCTCATTCCAGGCAAGTGGCCCTGACCTCGAAGCAGGACCTTGCGGAAAAGCACAAGTGCCTGCGGCTGGAGTGTGAGAACTTCGAGTCGCAGCTACGACTGGCAGAGCGGGATGCTTCTTCAAGTGCGAAGCATCGAGACGAGCTTGCCCAGGAGCATTGGCAACACGAAAAAGGGGCATCCGAGCTGTTGGAAAAGAGCCAGCAACAAGAGCGTGCTGCGGAAGAGTTTCAGCGAAGATTTGAGGATATGGGGGCTGCACTGGAGGCAGCCATATTGGCCAAGGAACGTATGGAAGCGCGAGCGGTGGCAGCAGAAGGCGACATGAAGGCTGGGCAGGTGTGGGTAGCGGGCTTCACCGAGTCAGGT